TGATGGGTATTAAAGAGGGCACGTTCTGCGTGGAGCACTGGGTGTTATGCACAAACAATGAATCATGGAACACTACATCAAAAACTAATGTTGTGATGTATGGTGATTAACATAATAATAAAAAATTTAAAGAGAAAAAAAAGAAAACCCAAAAGATTTCACCAAAACTTTGCTAGAACTGATAAAGGAATTTAGTAAGGTCACATGATAAAAAATCAACCCACAGAACTCTGTTGCATTTCTATACAACAATAATGAAGCAGCAGAGAAATCAAGGAACCAATCCCATTTATAATTGCACCAAAAGCAATAAGATACCTAGGAATAAACCTAACCAAAGAGGAAAAAGATTTGTACTGTGAAAACTACAGAACACTTATGAGAGAAATTGGGGAAGACCAAAGGAAATGGAAAAATTTCCTTGCTCATGAATTAGAAGAACAAATATTGTTAGAATGTCTATACTTCCCAAAGCAATCTACACATTCAATGCAATCCTTATCAAAATACCGCCAGCATTTTTTTACAGAGCTGGAACAAATAATTCTGAAATCCGTATGGAATGAGAAAAGACCCCAAATAGCCAGAGGGATGTTGAAAAAGAAAACCAAAGCTAGAGGCATTACAATTCTGAATTTCAAGTTCTATTACAAAGCTATAATCATCAAAACAGACACACAGATCAATGGAACAGAATAGAGAACCCATAAATGGACCTTCAACTAATTGTTGATAAAGCAGAAAAGAATATCCAAAGGAAAAAAGACAGTCTCTTCAACAAATGGTGTTGGGAAAACTGGGCAGCCACATTCAGAAAAAATGAAACTGGACCACTTTCTTACACCATACACAAAAATAAACTCCAAATGGATGAAAAGACCTAAATGTGAGACAGGAATCCATCAACATCCTAGAGGAGAGCACAGGCAGCAACCCCTTTTACTTAGGCTGCAGCAACTTCTTGCTGGATACGTCTCCAAAGTCAAGGGAAACAAAAGCAAAATGAACTATTGAGACTTCATCAGGATAAAAAGCTTATGCACAGCAAAATGCACCTTACAGAATGGGAAAAGATATTTGCAAATGACATATCAGGTAAAGGGCTAGTATCCACAATCTTTAAAGACCTTATCAAACTCAACACCCAACAAACAAATAATCCAGTCAAGAAATGGGTAGAAGACATGAACAGACATTTCTCCAAAGAAGACATCCAGATGGCCAACAGACACATGAAAAAATGCTCAATATCACTCATCATCAGGGAAATACAAATCAAAACCACAACAAGATACTACCTCATACTAATCAAAATGGCTAAAATTAACAACTCAGGAAGTGACAGATGTTGGTGAAGATGAAGAAAAAGGGGTACCCTCTTACACTGTTGGTGGGAATGCAAATTGGAGCAGCCACTCTGGAAAACAGTATAGATGTTCCTCAAAAAGTTCAAAATAGAACTACACTACAACCCAGCAATTGTACTACTAGGTATTTATCCAAGGATACAAACATAGTGATTTGAAGGGGCACATACACCCCAATGATTATAGCAGCAATGTCCACAATAGGCAAAATATGGAAAGAGCTCAGATGTCCATCAACAGATGAATGGATAAAGAAGTTACATATATATATATAGAATATATGGAATAGTACTGTCATCAAAAAGAATGAAATCTTGCCATTTTCAAGAATGTGGATGGAACCAGAGGGTATTATGCTAAGTGAAATAAGTCAGAGAAAGACAAATACCATATGATTTCACTCATATGTGGAATTTAAGAAAGAAATCAGATGAACATTGGGAAAGAGAAGGAAAAATAAAATAAGATAATAAGAGAAGGAAACTATAAGAAACTCTTAACTATAGGGAAGAAACTGAGGGTTGCTGGAGGGGAGGTGGGTTGGGGGATGGTTTAATTGGGTGGTGGGCATTACACCAACTGCCCTCCTTACACCAAAGGAGGGCAGTTGGTGTAATGAGCACTGGATTTTAAATGCAACTGATGAATCACTAAATTTACCCCAGAACTAATAATACATTCTATGTTAACTAAATTGAATTTAAATAAAAAATTAAATGAATATATGATCATTAATTTTCCTGTGTATTTGAATATCTTTCCAAGAAAGTTTTAATTCCTTTCATATTAAAAGGAAGGAATTATTTAAGTTTAAACTAGTCTCTTTCACAAATGGTGTTGGGAAAATTGGACAGCCACATGCAGAAGAATGAAATTGGGCCACTTTCTTACACCACACACAAAAATATAAGTATAAAAGAGTCTCCTTATAGATTCCTAGTCCCTGTCCTCCATGTGAGGACACAGTGAGAAGTTTCTGTCTATGAACCAGGAAGAGAGACTTCACCAGAAGTTGATCATGTTGGTACCTTGATCTTGGACTTCCCAGACTCCAGAACTGTGAGAAATAAATTTGTTATATAATCCACCCTGTCTGTGGTATTTTGTTATAGAAACCCTAATGGACTAAGACAACATGTTTCAAAACTTACTTGGAGAAAAAATTAAAACTAAGACAAAAATAAAATAAAAAGTCAGGTCAAGAAAACACATGAAAAATGTTACCAGTAGAAAATTGTGGATTCTTGGATTTGGAAATACTGATTGGTTTGTGAAAGGATAAGTGTGTGTATGTGTGTGCATTTGTGTGTATCCAGCACGTGCCAAAAGTCTTTGTCCAGTTTAAAGCTTTACTAACTTCAGAATTATAAATGCTACAAACTTAAAAAAAATATATCATTTGGTTTTAACTCTTTATAACTTTCATACTTTGATTTATGAATTTTGAACAATAAATTATTTTATTTTGTGCCTGTCTTCCTGACAAAACCCTAAAATTCATAAAACTAAATAAGTGCAAAAGAAATTTAAATTATGTACCTGGGTTTATATAAGACAAAAACATATGGGAAGCTGGAGTTGAAGACAGAGAAAATCCTGAAAGTAAAATTTCCTGGAAAGTAGCCAAAATTCTAGGGTCAACTTCAGATTTTCAAGGGTTATGAAATTGGTGGGCTTTAAGTCAAGATAGCTAATGGACAAAGGGGACCAGGTAATATCTGAGTTCCAGATGGAACGAATGGAAAATTGGCTAAGGTCTCTCTGACAAAAGAGTAGAGTTGGGAGGAGGAAGCTAGAAGGCCCAGGAAGGTGCAGGGTTCTGTGGGGCTGAATGGTGGGGGAGGGGTGGTGGTCCCAGCCTGCTCCTCTGACTGCTCCCTCCCCCATTCTCAGGAACCCTTTGTGACAAGGCCACAGCTCTGTGATGCAAGCCTGAGGCTCTGCCCCCAAGTAAACTCCCAGTGCTCAGTTGCCTGAGGGCAACAGCATGATTCCAAAGATGGAGAATTTCTTTTCTCTGAGAAGTACTGGTACCACCTGGTTGAGCTCCAGTCCCACCTCCTGGGTGATTGATACCATCTTTGCTTTCCTATGTGGACTTGGGCTCTTTCTTCTGTTACTCCTCTGCTTTCAGAGTAATCCATCCTTACCACCAGCTAGAAAATATAGAAACACCAGGAAGGTAAGTAAACTTTGGCTAAACCCCAACAGAGATTATCTCATATCCATTTTTCTAAATCACCTGAGAGACTTCTGAGATAGGAAGTCTCAGAATAGAACGTCATGCCTCTAGGGAGAAGTGAGGCCAGGCAAGGGTTAGAGAGGGCACAAGGATTTCTAACCCAAGATCTCAGATCCAGAGTCCAGGTGTGGTAGAGGGTCCCAGGGCAAAGTCCCAAACATGGTGACCAGTGAGTGAGGACTGTATACTAAGAGTTCATTTTCTGCAGGAATACTGACTCCTAAGCATTGTTTCACCAGCCACTTTCCCCTTTCTGTGGCAGGTGTCTCAGGTAAGCTCTTCCTCTGTGTCAGGGCCTCTAAAGGGCTAGAATGGGGCTCTGAGCTTGGGAAACAGAGTCTTATCTGATGGAGCAGAGAAGGACCTGTAGTTCTGAGAATGTGTGTATTTTTTGAGTAGAGGAATAACAATGAAAGAAATCCATAGTGATCTGACATAGAAAATCCAGCTTTGCATTCTTCAAAGAAGAAAAATTTTAAATATTTTTATCCACTTTAAAAATGAGTAAATGGAAATAAATGAGTAAAAGGAAAGAAAGCCACAGACCCCCATTAGATGTATAAATGTAGAATGTAGATGTTCATATTGTTCATGAATAGTGAGCATTTGCGGACCATCTAGAGAGAAGAGAGAATTGAGTCCCAGCCCCTTGTCTTTTCTCTTAGCATCAAGTGGAGCTGAGGAAGAGGAGCAGGAGTAAGAAGAAAAGTGGAGCTTTGAAAGGTAAGCTTATGTGATTTAGCCCTGCATGCCCCAAATTATCCTCCATTTTTCTTAACCCCTGAGGGTCCAGCTCCATGGTCTCTGAGGATGCCAGGGGCAGAGACCATCCCTCAGGAAACAGAGCCCTCAGAGAGGCTCCTGGGAAGGAGATCAGATACTGTATACTTCCCAGATTCCATGCTTGGAAGGAAGCCGATAGGGGCTGAAATGAGTTTTGGCTGGCAAGGTTGTGTGGGCTGTAGTGGACCAAAAATTCAGAGGTGGAACCTCCAGGTCCAACTGTAGATAAGTGGTTTAACTTTGCTCAGATTCCTTTGTGACCCCTATCCTTTCTCCCCAACTAGGCAGTTGTGAGGGCTCCGGGGAGTGATGGATAGGAGAGTGCTTTGTCATTTACAAAGCACTCCCCCATCATAGGCCTTGCCGTTTCTGTGAGGGATCATGTGGCTTTGAGCACTGATGCTTGGGCTCCATAGTCTAATCACCCAATAGTCTCCTTTAAAGGGACATTGCACTTAGCCTTCTGTAAGACCCTTAGGCCCCTATTTTCACCACTGTAACCCAGTTTCCTGATTTCCAGCTTGCAGAAATTGCCTGAAAGAACTGGAGGGAGCTCGCAGCCTGATTTCACTTTTGCAAAGGTAGAGAATCTTTCCTTTTCTCCTTGACCCTCCTTTGTCCCAGAGCCTATGATGTGACCTTGGGGCCACAGGGAGCCCTGGGAGGGGGAGCCATGGGAAGAAGTTGTGGTTAAAGCTCTGTGGTTAGGAATAGCAGGAGTAGTGTGAAGTCAGCATGGAGGCTGGGGAGGGCTGTGGGTCACAGGTGTTTACCTCTGCCCAACCTGCCCTGCCCTCCTTGCCCTGGTCAGCTTCTAGCTGCAGCTTGTGCCTCCTGTCTCCTGCAGCTGCCTGGTGAGGCTCCCTGACAAGGGTGGCTTTCATCAGCCCTTATGTCAAGATCCCCCTGGTGAGGCGTACAAAGCAGTGCCTGCTGGAGCCTACCAGCCATGCGGGGAGCCTGTGGATGTTGCTGCTCCTGCTGTGTCCTTGCTGGCTACCCCAGTTCCTCTGACCCAACGCCCTCTACTTCTTGGCCCAAAGACCTCTTCAGTTTCTGTTCATTCCCACTCATCTCTGAGTGCCTCTTGGACACCAGAGCCTTTACTTCCCCTAGGCAGCCTTTTACCCCAGCCACTTGCTCTTTCCCCTCCCCCACCACATCCCCTTAATTCAGAGGCCTGTCATCCACCTCTGACAGCCTCTTCTGCCCCACAACTTCCAGACACCATTCTGACTCTTCCTCAGTGTGACTCAATGGCACTCCCACTGGGCACCATTACACAGAGGTCATCTAATACCCCATGGTCAGCTTCTCTTATCCCAGCCACCTCAGGCCTTGGCCACTCAAGCTGTCCCATTTCAGCCCTGTCTTGGTGGCACACCACTGGCAAAGCCTTGTGCCTCTCAACCTCATCAAATTATGAGTCTCAGCAAGAACACCTTTCCCACCACTCACCAGAGGCCTCATTCTGGGGAAACCCCACCAACAGAGAAGTAGGAGCTGCTAACCCCTCTTTGCTCAGCTCTGATGACCAGAAGTTCCTGGAGATACAAGTCACAAAGGGAGTCAAGATCAACATTTGGAAAGAAAAAGAAAAAGATGGATCATATCCAAAACAAATGAGCCCAAACTACCATCTGAATTCTTTGGGGAATATGTTGAAATCACTGGGTGCTGAGCAGAAAACCACAAGCCCCCAACACTTCTGGAGCACAAAAGGCAAACCAGAGCAGTTGCCTAGTCCTCAGCAGCTCTCATATCCTAAGGTTTTGGGGCACCATTTACAGCAGAAATATAACCAGCTTTTCTGGGGTCTCCCCTCTCTACACAGTGAATCTCTGGTGGCTACTGCCTGGATCTCTGAGAGCTCTTCAGCACTGCAGTCTCCTTCTTTCTTATTCAATGGAATTTCAAGTGACTACCCAGTTCAAATGCAGGCTAAACTATCTCCACTGCTTTCCCAGTCCAAACCCCTGTCCCAACTGGGGTTCCAATCTCAACCCTTGATTTCAGCCATACCTCAATTCCAACCCCCACCACTGGCTCAGATCCTGACCCAAGATCATCTCCAATCCTCCCTTCCAATCCTATCACCTTCTTCCTCACCCCAGATCAGGACCTGTCAAATATCTTGCCCTACAGCCCAGGATAAGTCACAATCTCTCATCCCAACTGAGATTCAACATCCAGAATGGCCTTTGCATGAGCAACTAGAAAGTGGGGGTTTATCCTCTGTAATCAAAAGATCTCAAGAGGTCTTTAATGTCTTCACTTCTAACCTTCCTGAAGACAGCTGGGTGGTCTCCATCCTTCCTGAGAATTTTCCAATCAGTCCTGAGCTCCGTAAGCAACTGGAGCAACACCTACAAAAGTGGCTCATTCAACACCATTGGGAGCTGCCCCGTAAGATCCAAGAGTTTCTGGAACTAAGGCAGCTTCAGGGTGAATTATCAGGGACATGTCAGGCAAAGGGCAAGCATAGACCCTCACAGCTCTCTGCATTTGCAGGAAGCAGCAAGGAGACACAGAAAGTGGGGTTCCAACTAAGCCAGGGCATGGGCAAGGGCCTGGGGTATATTTTGGGGAAGGTCCCAAAAGATCTCTTCCAGGCCTCAGAGAACTCCCTAATGAAGTTTCAGGGAGTGGGCTCTGGGGAATCAGAAAGTGACTTGGGGCTGTCACAGAGTGAATCAGGAAGTAATTTACTAAGGAGCTTAGATACGAATCTAGAAAACATCTTGAAAAGAGGTCATTTGGGCAGGAAGTTGGGGCAGATCAGTGAGTGTGGGTCGGTGAGTATGTGCCAATCCTGTCTTGCTGTCAACCATGCTTTTCCCAAGTCCAACACTGACATGGAAATCAGAAATCTAGGAATCTTGAAGGGTTGGGGACCATATGTGAACACCTTCCACAGGGTTTCCTTCCTCCATCCAGACATTCAAGAAGTTCTGGAAGCACATATTATAAGGTTTTGGGTGAGGCACAGGTGGGGTCTACCTCTCAAGGTCCTCAAACCCATAAATCTCTTGATGAAAAAGGTTCAACCCTTGCCCATTCTTCAGTTTGCCTCTACCTCCTCAGCCACCCGTGTGTCTGGGGCCCCCTCAATAGTCAAGTTTGCTGAATTCCTGGGAAAACCTCCTCAGGCATGTCTGGGAAAGAAGGCAATAACAGAAGAGTCAGTTTCCACCCTGGAAAGGCCTCCCCTTGCTCCTTCACCTGCGTATGAGGAAATCCAGAGGGCGCTGGGAAGGGCCCCATCTAGTGACAACCAGGGGCCCTTAAAAGCCTCTCTGATTGGACAGGAGGACAGGCCACCTTCTCAGTCCCTCACACTCAACTTCATGGGCAGAACTTGGCAGAGTGGTTCTGCAGAATGCATTGAGAGGAGCAGCCTAGAGTTGAGTCCCAGTTCAGCAATGACCAGGAATGAGCCAAGAGAGAAGAGTGTGGATTTGACCTCACAAGACCCCTGTCATAGGGTAGCAATGCTGGAGATGAACTTAGGATCCCAATGTTTTAGTGCCGAAAAGGACAGCGAGGCAGTGGAACCAATGTGCTTGGGAACCAATGTGCTCACAAAATCCCAAACCATAAATGTGCATATGGGGAGTTTAAATACCAGTAAAAAACTTTCTAGAATGTCTGTTTTCCAAGGTCCTGGAGAGTCATGCCTTAATGAAGAGGAAAGTGAATTTAATTCCAAAGTGAATACAAAGTCAGAGAACCAACCTCAAGACTGTTCTACACACATGCTCCTTGCTGCAGACAACTTGGCTTCTCAGGTGCCACAGTGTCATCCCCAGAGAGTGCCTACTGGAGGCAAGGTAGCTTCCCAGATGCTATATGGCTTCACAGCAGACCAAAGGAGCTGCCTAAGGCAGCAAGAGCCCATGATATCTAAACTTCGGGACTCATGGAAGAACCAGTGCAAGATGACTGTCCCTACTTGTAAGAGAGAGGACTATAGGAGGCTCAACTCAGGAAATGAAGAACGGTTTGAGGAATTGAGGACCTCTCAAGCTGAGTGTATGAGTCACCCTGCCCCAGTCAGGGGAATAGTAGATTCTTTTAGGAAACGATACTTCCAGCTCCTGCCAGAGAAGAAACAGGGTCCTCCCGAAAGCCTCTTCGGAAAAAGGATGAGGCGCTTTTCTCAATGGATTTTCCCCAATGAAAAAGACAAAGGTCAGAATGCTCTACAGAAATATAAGCCAATAACTACCCAGAACCAAGGACCAGTCAAAAGCAAATCAATTATGGCCAGTGAGACTCATGAGTCTCAGGCACTCATGACAGCTGTTGGACAGATTATAGAGGAGAAAATGGCAATTCATCATGGACTTCATGCCACAAAGTTAAATGAGCACAACCAGGAACTCCAAGCACCAGTATGTGGGTGTTTCCACTACCACAGACTTCCCTTCTACCCAGAGCAAGGGAGAATAATGAATTATACAGCCCACAGTCACCAAGCCACCTCCAAGGACCAGAGAAGCTCTATCAGGGAAAGGCAGGTCAGACATCGGCTGTCCTTGAAAAGTGTAAGATTCAAGGATGAGCAGCTGGGCCTGAAGCACCTCCCATCCTCGCCTCCCAAGAAGACTTTGTCTCCAGTCAGTCCCTGCCAGTATGGGCCAAGGATGCCAGGTGTCCCAAGCCACCATCATCACTGCCCACGGCACTGTCTTCTTCAGGAAGGGATCTAGACTAGTCAACCATAAAATGCTTCTTTAGTCTTTCTTAGTAGGAAAACATGTCTCCAAGAAAAAAAATTAGTCCATGTGGAGAAAACTTTTTCTCTTTAGCACATCCAAATACTTAATATTCCCTAATATATATGTTTTCCCCCCATAAGAGCATAGTATGGCTGCTTTTGTTTGTGCTATGCTTGGTATATGCTTTGGGTTCTAGAAGGGAGGGGCATGGAGGGTGTTTGGCAGTGGGCAATGTAGGCTTGCTCCTTATCCTGAATCTTTTCATTGTTTTCATGATACTGTCATTATACAAACAAAAGCTACTCTAAAAAGATGAGAAATACCTATGAAGACCTTACTCCAAGATCTGGTTTGACTTGTCTTTCTCCTGCTTCCATTCTACTTTGAACTTTATACAGCTGTAGGGGATAAGTTTACAGAGGCATCACAGGGCTGGACATTCCCACTCAGGCTCCAGGAAGTGTCAGAACCAAGTGTGTCGAAGTTTGGAAGAGAGTAGTGGGCCCTAAATTCAAAAGCAAAAGAAATCTTGTCCCTGGATCTCTTGGTGAAGAATAGATACTTGCCCTTGAGAACCCCTTCTTTCTCTGATGAAGAACTGAAGGCCCTATGAAACCCTCTTAGCTTAGCTTTAATGAAATGTACAGTGTCATCCTCTTCCACCTCTGCCTTTCCTGCACTTCCAGTGATAAGGATGGCACTTCCAGCTCTGTGTGTGTGTAAGTGGGGAACAACAGGGAGGTTGCTGAGGGTTGTGTTCACCTCTACCTAAATGAATATTCAAGGGTCACATATTTTCCCTTTATGTTAACCCCAGAGAAGGAGTTCTGAATTAATGGAACAGGAGTGTACCTGTGTGTAGTAACTATCTGATGGTTGAACACTTGAACTTAGAATGGGATGTGGGAGAAAAATTGAAAGGATGGATCCAAAGAAGAAGGCAAATTGACACATGGTGCCCATAAATGTGCAGTGAGTGAAGAGCCCCCTGATATCCTATCTACAGGCCTGGAGGAAAGAAAAAGTTAAGGGCCCAGTGGTTCATCATACCCCATCAGGGTCTCCACCCTTCTCTGCTCTAAGGTCACAGACCTAGGAAAGCCATCTTTATGTCCAAAACAGATGTCCCAACTTGTAGAAGTAAAGCAAATCAGGGAAGGTTAATCTCTTAATAATATATTTCATAAGCTTACACATCATCACCTCTTGAATTCTAGAATGGATGACAATAATAGGTGGGAAGGCTAGGTAACTAGGGAAACTTGGGATGTGCCTCCCAGTCTATTGACCTTTGCTTAAACACATGACTCAAGGACTGCTCCTCAAGGAGTGGTGGGGACTTAAAAGGCCCAGAAACTGGCCTGAAATTATGTCTGGCTCCCAGTTCTTGCTTACTCCAGAGCCCAGCAGATGAAGCCACCAGGCAGGATTTATCAAAGGAGGTTGGGGAGAGCATGGAAATGACCTGTTCAAAATGGGAGGTGCAGTCCAGGAGTTTTCTACTGTTCTCTCCACTTCTAGCAGTCTTCATCCTCCTCTGGCCTCTGTCCACATGGGAAAGCAGGGAGCTGAGCAACTTCTCTAGAGTTATTCTGTGCTTTGTGCCACACATGGTACACTGCAGAGGGCATCATTCCCAGGATAGAGAGTCTTGCTCCAGGAGATATCCCTGATCCAGAGGATAATAGGAATGGGCCCTATCTCCCATGCCTGTCGGGATGCCCAACATTTGGGACTGGGACCTGGGGTGGAGGATCAGATTGGGTATAGGCCCGCTTGTGTCACTGGTTTCTCCCTGGAACCAGGTCTTGCCTTTGGGTCCCAATTCCTGAGGCAGTCTCCCAGAGTGGGTCCAGCAGTGAAAATGGAGCCAAGACCTGTGGGAAGGGATTGGGACCCAACACAGAGAGTATCCTAGGCCCTTGGGAGCTCAGGAGAGGGTGGCATGGAGTGGGGACCTTGAGTCTGGCTGCTGCTAGGTCCTCTAGGGGCACTGAGAGGTGAGTTCTGGGACTGGAGTATGAGCTAGATGTGAACCCTGTGGCCCCTGCCAGAAGAAGTGCCACAGAGAGGGATGCTGATGGAACAGCAAAAAACCAAGTGCCTTTGCCCTTCTGCTGCTCAGATTTCCATAAGGTGCAGTAAAGCCAGAAATAAAGACACACACGAGACCCTCCACACAGAGACAACACGCAGAGATATCTCCCAACAGAGACAACACATAGACCTTACAGAGATAACTCTCAACAGAGATCTCTCACACAGACACCTTCCACAGTGCCTACCTACGACATTGCCCCACAGAGACCTTACACTGAGACCTCACATATGGACCTCATGTTGCCCCACAGATCCTCAGAGAGAAAGCTAGCACAGATTTCAGAGCTTTTTCAGAGACCTGACAGCAAAACTTTCAGAGACTTCCCAAAGGTACTTTCCATACAAACCTCACAAGGAAAACCAACATTCAGAGACCTCATGTAGCCTCAGAGACACCTCACACAGAAATCTCACAGAGAGGCTTCATCTACAGATGGTACACAGAGATCTTCCACTGACTCACAGAGACTTCACATTGAGACATTACCCAGATACCCCAGAGAGACTGACACAAAGACCTCACATCCATTTGTTAGGATCCCAAGCAAGCACCCATTGACAAGTCCTTCTTGGTGAATATGAAACCACTTAGCAAACTGGTAACACAAGAGGGATGATCAGTTGTGCCCTCTTGAGAGCCTTAAAACACTCAGACATTGTCAGCATTGCACTACATTTAGTTCTATGCTTGGGGAAATGCTTGGGAAATTTTGTTCTTTTGTCATATTATTGCATCTGAATAAAAAATTACCCATTCTACATGTAGATTTGCAAAATTAATTTCTACAGGTGTTCTTTAATTTGAGAATCACAAATTTTGAACACAACTAAAATAGCCAGTCTCCAATGAGAGAAAATATCTTATTTGTCCAGTTTTAGTTATTATCCAGCTAAATGGTGTCACTGTCTTTTTTTTTTTTTTTTTTCTCTTGGGGACAAGGCCTGAAGTCGAAATGGCTTACTTATTTACTTTGGAAACATAATAAAGGCCTGCAACAAATGAACTCTAGAAATGAAATAAACCAGAAAAGAGGCATCTGGACTCACACTTGCCTCCCAGAAGTCTAACTCGCACATTATTTTCAACTTAACAGTTTGTGGGGTTTTATTTTTTTAACAAGCTAACAATTGTGAGGATTTTTCACAAATAAGTCAAATTCCTGGTAATATTCCTATTATATCATCTGGCAAAATTATATTTCTGAATATTATTTTATTCCTTCAAGTGTAATACCCTTACATGATATTATTATACATGTCTTTAGGAGATGACACAATCCTAATGTTCAGTTAACATAGTTAAAAGGGCAAGCTATTAAGGATTTATTTTTAATCCTATGAAACTCACATTTTCTAAGATAGGCAGTCAAGATCCACTTTATGTTATTACAGGGCTAAAAAAGAACACATTGCTTAAAATGAATTTGAAATATTATAAAATATATGTATTTTTGAGATATACAGATGGCCTAAAGAAATTACTGAGAAAGGGATATATTAACATCTGAATTGATTTAGTCATTTAATCAAATTTTGATTATAATTAATAATGAAAAGTGTCACTTATTATATATCCAGCACTTTCCAAAGGGTGCATTACAATGAGATTGCCTATTTCTCACTGCTCATATGCAACCTATTGTCCTTGCCTTGATAAAGTTTCAATGACCACTGTCAAACCTGTATCACTGGTTAAGTCTGTCAGACTTCACATTGGGATGATGACATCATAGTTCTTTAAGAGGAGCAGGGCTGACACAAGAGCTCTTTGACTTATTTCACCAAGAAATTCACTTTTTCTTTATAATTAAACAATTTATAACTATTAAATTTTCAACTTTATTCCTTTATGATATCATTGTATCATAAAATGATGGAATATGGTCATGGATGTCATCTAATATTCCATCAGATCATTTTTTATAGTACAAATTATGAAGATAAGTTTATTGATCAGAACAAAAATGAGTTCAATTAGGAAAAGTTTATACAGGAAAATATCTTTTTCAAATTGACTATTTTAACAGTGTTAAAATAAGTGATTATTCTTTAGTCTTTTGAATTAAAGTTGCTCAGGGTGGCCAGGAAGTCTGGAAACATAGGAATTGTCCATAATAAGTAGTTTATTGCTATAACATGTTGAATGTGTTGTTCTTCACTAGTAATTTGTGCTAAATTACAATGAACAATCTGCATTAAAAAAACATTTGCATCAATCATTGCACATTCATCTGTCATAGGTTGTTTTAGATTTGTGAATTTTCATGGAATAAACTTGCACATTTTCCTAAGAATAAGAAATCATGGGGGATCAATCTATTTAAAATATATTAGTTTTTCCAAACTCTATGGCCATCTTTTTAGTAAGATTCACCTATCTTAAAATTTTTAAAAAGTTTTACCATTTACATATTACCAGAAGAAGTGGATATCAAAAATTAGAGAAAACAAAAACAGATCCCTTTTGTATTCAAAAAGTTTTACATCAAAACATTTTGCTGAAAATGAAGTGATTCTTAATCTACAGATGAAATACTTTTTACATGATACTTAAGATATATTATAAATTTGGATTTAAAATAAATTTTTATTTAAAACTGGCCTCATGCCGCTTTCAATAAATCAGGCACAATGTGCAGGGGCAGCAATTAAGTAATGACTTCTTAATACTTCAAGGAATAAAATCTTTTCCAAAGTAGTCGTTCTACAATGTTAACCCCTAACAGCGATTCCTCTTGATAGATTATATTTTTTAGTTTCATACATTTTATAACGAACTACCATAGGGATACATTTCTGGAAGTGTTCCCAAATATATACAGCTACTATGTTGTGCTCACGCCACAAGCACAATAGGGAACATCCAGATCTGGATGATCCAGGGGTTTCAT